CAGTGCGACAGTGAAAAGGGACCCATTTCAAACAGTGTCGCGTTCCGAACGTTGTTTTAACGACATGCAGTATTGCGGTATTTAAAAAATTCATACCATCACAAAAATAAACACCGGTATTCGGTATGAACCGGTATACCGCCCAGCACTACTTGAGTGCCACTGATTTAGATTTTCTGTGTGGTTAATAAAACGAGACAGTAATCTATGCTGGATGAAGATGATGGCTGAGGGTCAAATCTTACGTGATAATCTTCAGTAACGCGAGATAGTCCTTTGTTACTAATTTCTGGTCAATGATCAGATCTATATGTACATCACAATAGTGTGTGCATGTTTAGTAAGGTGCATAATAGGGATGCATCGATTCAATACTCAGTATCGGTATCGGCTCCGATACTGGCATTTTCTGCCGGACCGGGTATCGGTCAGACGAGACCGGACTCCTATCTATCATATGTTGCTGCCTTCATTACTGTGCTATACATTTAAATGAAATGACTTTTAATTTTATAGTTTATATTTATAAATAAATACATTTACTTGTTTTCATTAATGTATTTTACAACAATACAAAGAGCAATGTGTAACATTTTACCAGATTTAGTCCTTCACTTATTCACTTTTATTTGTTCCCCACTAAATAATGTTATTTCGCTAAATGTTTAGATTTTATAAAATTGTGCACTCATGATTTTTCTAGAATATCTTTTGTTTCTAAATTATCCACTAATCTAGTTTATAATAGTATTTTTTTCATAGATTATGATATATTTTTTCATGTTATTTTTCATTAAAATGAAGTTGTCTATATTTAGTAGATTGTGTTTAACACACAAAAGAGTGACGATCAGGTCAACACACAGAAGTTTAGAAATTCTACACGGACTTAAAAAAAACTGTGCCTGGATCGGAGCAGATCTGAAAAAATGGTATCGTTGCGTCCCTAGTGTATAATAGAAGATACAGATTACTACAACATAACATTTTTTCTTAGCTCACAGGTCAGAAAGTCCAAGGTTGAAGATTAGTGATAAATAAAGATTTTGTTTTATAGTCAGTGCAGTACCGTACCGTATGGGCTCTCAGCTGCAGAGGAAGGGTGGTGGGACTAGAAAGGTGACGAGCATCCACAGCCCTCCGACCCTGAGGCACTGACTGAGGGTAAGAGGACATGCTGACGATGCAACTTCCTCTACACACTGAAAGTGGGTGTGGTCTTGTCACAAACGCTGTGCATCATGGGGCGTTGAGTCCTGGCAGTCACCGACCTGGAAGGAACGAGAGAGAAAACATTAAAGATTAATTGTTAATAATAAATATTTGTTAACACAACAATCAATCTGTGGAGTCAAACAAAATTGTGGACAAAAACATACAGTGTGCACCAAACTTCGGAAAGCCAGGATAAGCAACTGTGAGTTTGATGACAAGTGAGAGAGAAAATGAGCGAGAGAGAAGTCCTAGCCACCACCTGCTGCTGGCCGGATACATGTCGGCACACTGTGTGAATGAATGGATCACTCTGTATTCCCTCTATATCCTCCTCTTCTTCGCTCTTTCTATGCTCATTAGGGCAGCTGGCGTACTCTGCTGCATGATGATACTCCCTTTTTCACAGATACAGCAAAAACACAAAGTATGGCTAAACCATGTTAATGTTCAAAGTTTATTTAAGGCAAGTCTGTTCACCCAGCAACTATCATGATAACATCCCTATGTAGACCATAGGCATGCAAGTACAGCTCATATCTACTTAAATAAAAACAGACAGCTCGCATTAAACAATGCCTAGATCATTTAAAATTTACGTTCATTGTGAAAGCAGGTTCAAACTTACTGTAAAACATGTGCATAACTCATAAAAAGACTTACAAGGAGCTGTTATACAACAGAATGTGTTTCACAGAGACAGCTGAGAAAATATCCACAGAACTAGAATGAAACCGCAGAATAAAAGTACTTTGCCATACTTCACATTTACCTTACATTAAAACACATTTAATCCACCTAATTAATTATGCACTAATTAAAATGCAATTAATTAGTTCAGTGATGCTTTGGGTTCTCAAAGCATCACTGAACAGTCAGACGAGAGACTGGAGGCAAGAAAGAAAGCACTGCAGTTGTAAACGTTTTGATAGTGTCAGTCAGAGGTGGTGGTTTTCACCACACCATAAACTGGAGACAGAAAGAGTAAAGCACCAGGTGTTGAGAGCACCAGGCAATGCTTGAGAATACAACGGCATACCTAGAATCATACATGATGCTGTCAGCCAAATCTGACACAAATCTTGGTAACCAGTTGGATATGCAAGAACCTTGCCAAAGTTTTGCAAAAACGTCACAAGCAAGTGAGATCTACAGGATTCGCATAATGTTAAAGCAGTGACCTTACAAGAACCATCACAAGCAGATGTTACCCACAGGGTTACTTTGTAATATGAAGCCAAGTAGTGTGAATTGTTATGTTTAGGTGTGGGCCTTCTTGTAGATTTAACTACTGTGGTTTAGGTACACAATACAGTTACACAATACATGTAAAGCAAATTAAATAATTAACCTGTTTCACCGGACTAATGATTGGCATTCATCAATGATTTAATTTTCCTTTAATATTTTCGGCATATTTTTAGCTTTGAAAAATGACCCCGAAATTAACAGCTTCGGCATGAAAAAAAAACATATGTTAGCCGAGTTCTCCCTTGTTACTCCATCGCTAAACAGTCTTTAGCTATGAATTTTTAAAAACAGAAAAAAACATTTTTGTTATCAGTAAGGTATCAAAGATATTACACAATTTGAACGTTATATAACGAAAACAAACCATAATGCAAGTTAAAGAATAGCCCTTTACACTCTGTGGCTTCAGATAAACGGGAAGTAGCGCTATCACACTAATAAACACAAATGCAAACAGATATGCTTCTCTGAATGTGCTTTTCCCGCTGTGGCTGCTGTGTGTCATTAGCCCTCCTGCTCAATACAGACCATACAAACCACTGCCATCTCAAGGGGCCTCACAGCTTCTGACAAAAACACAAAAATTACCATGTGAGAGAAGTCTGTCTCTATAGATGAACAGTTGTGTGTGTACATTATCTAAAACAAGGTCACTGAGTGTTGTCAAATACTTTGACATTAAAACAAGGAGTCAGGTCCTCTGCTCTAAAGCCCTGTAGCTCTTCTACAACACAAAGAGGGGCACGCTACCGTCCTCCTTCCTTCCTGTCTGTCACTGAATGATTTATATGGAAAGAGCAGAGTGTTTTACTGTGCTGGGGGAGGAGATTCAATGTTTGGAGCTCTGAGGAACAGAAATTCTTTGTCATCCTGAAGGCACTTTGTAGACTCACACATACACATGAACACACATGCAATATCAAATCGATCACACATTACTCACAGAAAACACAAATCTGATGTGTGTTCCTTGTTTTTGCTTTAAAGAAAACTTTCAAAGAACAGCGTTTATTTGGAATAGAAAAATGTATAAATGTCTTTACTGTCAACTTTAGGTCATTTTAGAATTGTGAAGCTTGTAGTTTCACACTTGTATAAATTCTTCTAAACTTTTTTTTTTTTTTGCCATTGCCCTTTGCAGTTAGGACTTCTCCAGGTGAAGGAACTTTTGTGTAACTACCACAAATTCCTGTGGACAGTAGTTTACAGTATTTAGCTGGTCACTACATGAAATGCAAACTCTCATACATCAGAAAGAACTTTTAATAGAATCAAGTGGTTATTACCATTACAATTAGCCTTTGCATTTTGGGTTTAATCACATGGCGATTGACAGGCTTCACAAACCGGCCTCCCAAAGATGAGTCCCAGAGAATTAAGATTTATTTAAAAAGGAAGACATTGGGTGTGAAGCGCACATGTGTCCAGTTTGGCTGATCTACTGGCACATTATGAACTGTGAAAATCTGGAAACAAACTTACCACTGCTTTCTTGGCATCGTCAAGCTTTGTGAACGAAAAACCACAACTGCTATGACAGACATAAAGAGAGACTGGGAGAGAAAGTGAAAGATAACAAGAAAAGAGGAAGAGAGAAAGGAAAGTAGGAACAGTGAAACACTTGGAGAGTGGAATGAGAAAGAAAAAAGGAGATATCTCTCTATGAGAGAGAGGGAGAGAGACTAGGCCCTCAGACAGAAGGGGAAACACATGCCCTGGCACGGATACAGACACCCACAGGCAAGCTCATGGCTGCCTGCCAACAGCACGAATGAACTCACTTAACCCTCGCGCTCTCTCTTTTCTCTCGTTCTCCCTCTTTCAATCACAGTGCTCACTCATTCCCAACTCTTTCTTCTCCCTTTCTAGGAGAGGCTGGCTTTTGTATGATCTCTCTCTCCCTTTTTTCTCTCCACCTCGCTCTTGCGTTACAGCTCTCTTCCTACCTTTTTCCGCCTCTCGTTTTGCTGATAAACACACATGGGCAGCTTGAAAGAACTGGAAAGAACCAGCGCTAACTGCCTTACCATTAACCACTGTGTATTTCTATCTCACACATTTTAGGTTTTGACATCTTTTATTGACTCTCACAAAAGCTGAGTCTGTCATGATGGATGTAATAAATGAGAGGCCTGGCAGTTTGTGTTAGTGCTGGAAGAAAGGCATTAGCTGATGGGCCACGATCAGGTCCCTCCTGCTGGCCCAGTAATGTCAGAGACAGCATGAGGTGGGGCGGCCGAGTGTGCGTTCCCATCCATCTGCATCACCGACGTCTACGCCACAACATCTCCCATAATCCCACAGCACAAAATGCCACTTCAATCAGCAATGTCATTATCACCTAATTTCCCACCTTCAGTATTTAAGCTCGAATGTAGAGACCTGCACTCCCGCGGGAGTACTGCGGGACCTTTTTGATGGGCGAGTGCGGGTGCGGGCGGGAAGAGGGGCGTGTGTGTGTGTGCGGGATGCGGGAGAATAAAATGATTCGTGGGACTCCCGCAAAATAGAAATGATCTAAATAAAGTGTCTAAAACATATAAATTGTTATTTATCTCTTGCACAAAAGCAAAAAGAACAACTAATATTAACATTAAAATGATTGACATGCGCAAGCTAGGCATAGTTTCTATTTATAACACG